AGTTGTCTGCTTAAGCTGTTGTGGTGTTCATTCACATTGTTTCTAGATTATTGTGTAGAGTGATCAGATGCATTTTAAATAATTGCTAAAAGCTTAATTGGGCAAAAAATTTACTTTTCACAAAAAAACAAAACCAAAACCAAATTTCACAGTTTTTTGATCCTGACACAAAATGACCAGCTAACATTAATTGACTAATCATTGAAAATGCGAATGAGTACTAGTCAGGTAAAATCACTGTAGTCAAGTCCAGTCAAGTCTGCTTTATTGTCAATTCTTCCACATGTACAGCACATAATCTTCTCAGCTGCTCTCACTATGCGTTGAAGTGACTTGCGGCAGGACGAGTTGCAGGCGCCATACCACACAGTGATGCAGCTGGTCAGGATGCTCTCGATGGTGCCTCTGTAGAAGGTGCACATGATGGGGGCCGGGGCTCTGGCTCTTCTCAGTTTGCGGAGGAAGTAGAGACGCTGCTGTGCTTTCTTGGCCAGTGCTGCGGTGTTGTCAGTCCAGGAGAGATCCTCTGTGATGTGCACACCCAGGAACTTGGTGCTGCTCACCCTCTCCACAGTCACACCATTGACAGTCAGAGGAGCATGCTTCTTCACATTCAGAGAGAGATTGTTGTCACTGCACCACCAGGCCAGGCGGTTCACCTCGCTCCTGTAGTTTGTCTCATCTCTGTTGCTAATGAGACCCACTACAGTCGTGTCATCCGCAAACTTGATGAGGAGGTTGGAGTTGTGTGACAGTGTGCAGTCGTGGGTCAGCAGAGTGAAGTGAAGAGGAGGGGGCTCAGCACACATCCTTGGGGGGCCCCAGTGTTCAGTGTGATGGTGCTGGATGTGTTGCTGCCGACCCGTACTGCCTGAGGTCTTCCAGTCAGAAAGTCCAACAGCCAGTTGCACAGCAAAGTGTTGAGCCCCAGCTGGACCAGTTTGTGAATGAATCTATCATATTAAATAGATTGTAAGAGCAGACTGATTACAAAAAAAGGAGGGAAGAAGCGCTTCCAATCATTGTGTTCTTGAACCATTTACCAGATCATCAAGAACTTCAAGGAGAGAGGTTCGACTGCAGTGAAGAAGTCCTCAGGACGTCCCAGAGTGTCCAGCAAGCTCCAAGACCATCCTCCTCCTACGGAATCGTGTCACCACCAGTGCAGAGCTTGCTCAGGAATGGCAGCAGGTTGGTGTGAGAGCATCTGCATGCACAGTGAGGCCAAGACTTTTGGACAACGGCCTGGTGTCATGAAGGGCAGCAAAGAAGCCACTTCTCTCCAAGAACAACGTCAAGAACAGACTGAAATTCTGCAGGAAGTACAAGGATTGGACAGCAGAAAACTTATTTTCTCTGATGAAGCTCCCTTCCGACTGTTTGGGACATCTGGAAAATCGATTGTTTGGAGAAGAAAAAGTGAACGCTACCATGAGTCCTGTGTTGTGCCAACAGTGAAGCATCCTGAGACCATGTGTGGAGATGCTTTTCAACCGAGGGAGTGGGCTCTCTCATAATTCTGTCCAAAAACACTGCCATGAATAAAGAATGGTATCAAAACGTCCTGCAAGAGCGACTTCTTCCAACGATCCATGAGCAATTTGGTGATGATCCGTGCATTTTCCAGCATGAGGGAGCATCATGTCACAAAGCAAGACAGTATAAGTCATTATAATCAGTAATTATGTCCCCACTGGATGCTACAAATGCCTTGTTTGTAATGGGTTTTATTGGTTTTGTCTCGCCGCACCGGGACATGGCATCACAGTATGGGAAGGGGCGTAACATTTCCGTCACACGCTTGAGGTATTCAGCCAATCACAATGCACTGGATAGCTGGCCAATCAGAGCACACCTCGCTTTTCAGAACGATGAGCTTTGTAAAAATCGATGCGTTTCAGAAAGGCGGGGGATAGAGGAGAAACAGTAATGTACAGTATGTGGAAAATAATGTGTTTTTTTAACCTTAAACCGCATAAACACATTTCATTACACCAAATACACAAAATAATAGTTTACATTTTAGCCACAATATGGACATATTATATTGTTTCTATTGTTTATTGTTTATTGTTGCTCTGTCAATGAAAATAATTCCAAAAGAAGCTAAAGCAGGATCAACCGTTGTGTGTCTCCGAGCATCACACAGATGGCAGCCTGTGTGGAACACAGGCAATCAGTGAAACAAATGAAAAAAGTCAAGACTCATGGAATGCCAGTTTTGCAATCTAATTAGAGGACAACATTGAATGGTGATAGATTGTCTAGTCACTGCAAACCCTAGTAATGATAGCTTGCGGTGTTTGTAGCAAGATGCTTAATGGATGGCATAAGAAAATAGTTCTTCACCGAGGAGTGTTTTAAGGACCATACCTGAAAATGGTTAACTGTGGATAAGCAGAATAATTGTCTTTGGAGTGGACCACTGAATTTATTACACATCTGATATTATAAGGCTGATGATACATGGGGCAACTTTTTGAGCAATGTTGCCGGACAACCAGGGCCCATGACCAAATGATCTAGATAGAAATGTGCTACCCGTTCTCAGTGGGAAAGTGCCCAAGCAACACTGCTCAAAAAACTTGCCCGGCAAAGTTGCTCAAAAAGTTGTCCTGTGTATCATCACCCTAAGTAATGGAAAGGCCTACCACTAAATGATTGGGTAGTGTGATGTCTCCACATCATCTTGTTTGTTTTATTTCTGTGCCAGATGAAGGACAACATTTGGTCTCTCTAAGAATGGGCATGTCTGACTTGGATGCTGAAGGACTTCCGGTCCTCAGTTGTAAAGTCCTTATCTAAGACATTAACTCAGCTTGATCATGAGTTATTTTCTATCCCCTAACCCTCACAAAACCTTTTTACGTTTTCATTAACACATTATTTAGTGGGGGTTGGGGGTGGGGGGTTCGTGCTGGCCCAACATTGTAGGTGATTTCACAATTGCCTATCCTTGTGGAGGCATCTGGTCCCCCCAATCTAGGCAAAATCTACTCCCACTCACACACCAGTCCACTGACCTGTAGTGTATGTCAGGACATGAGGCTGTGAGATAAACAGCTCTAAACACAATTCCTTAACACTCTCCCAAACACTATCTCTCATTCACTCGGAGTTATGTAATACCACACACACACACACACACACACACACAAATGCTTACACCAGCTGGAGAGGACAGTGAAAGAATGAGGCGTTTCACATTGCATCATTCCCCCTTTCTCACACATGGCACATACAATTTTTGCCGCCTCTGTGATGATCAAATTTCTATTGTATTATTCCATTGTTATAAAGTTTGTAGTTTTTCTGAGATTTTGAGCCACACCAGTGAAGTGTACTTCATATTAAATAAATGTTCTTGGGCAAAATTAAAAATAAATAAATAAAATAAGAGTAATATAAACATAATGTTAGATAGATCTGTCAGTGCAGTGAATAATAGTCACATATTTAACTGGGTATTTATAAAACTATTTCCTCATTTTAACTTTTTTTTGTCCTGCTTTTACAGTCATTCCCAAAACCCTTCTCTTCTTATTATCCATACTCTCTGTACACACACACACACACACACACACACACACACACACACACACACACACACACACACACACACACACACACACACACACACACGCAGCAGCAGCAGTAGCACAAACAGTCATAAATGGAGAGTAAATAAATTACATATTATCATTCCTTCCTCTTTACTACTAGTTTTAACATGAAATAACCATTGCATGCCTCATGTAATCGCTCAATCAGTGTTTCAACCGCGAAAAGACATCAATAAAACCGCTTGACACGTAGCAATTTATTTACCTCAGGCAAGTCATTAGTGTTCACAGCCAGTTAGTATGCTAGAGAAATTAAGTCTGGAGAGCATTTCGTATACTCATTATATTTTACTTTACCTATTAGAGGTGTCTTATTATTTTATGTTTAAATAAATCTGTTATGAAACAAGTTATGACAGCCAATGTGTAAATGAATATTTCAACAACATATAGGCTATAAATTTTGTAATTTAGAAGTTAATTTAAAACTGCATTATGTGCAATTTACATGTTTGCATACAATTTTTTTTATTTTATTTAAGTGTTGATTATTATATTAAAAAATAAATAGTTATTAAATTTAAGTTTGGGCTTTTGTTGTTAATTTTTTTTTCTCTTTTCTTTTTTTCTTTACCTTATAGTAATGTCAAAAGGCTCCCCACAGTTTAGAGCATAAATTGGGGTAGATTTGATGAAAAAGAAAATTTGCAATTATTTAAAGAAAGAACAGTCTGTTCAGTAAATCACTGTTTAAAAAAAATAAAAATTTTTTTGTTTAGTTTATTTTATGTTTAGTTTTCCCTCTCCTGCTGAACCAAACCGTGACCTCAAAACTGAGGTACGTACCGACACGTCATGTTTGTGTACTGTTACACCCCTAGTGTACACCAGTTTTTGCCATGGCCAATTTTGCTCCCACCAGTTCAAGTAGCTCACCGCAGGGATGTATTGGAATCACTGAGCAAAAATGTCATTTTATTCATGAGTGTTGTAATTTTTGGTAATCAGGTACTGAAGTATTTATTTATTTTATTGGTTGTGGAAAGCGACTGTAGCAGTGCATACAGCACACAAACAAACTCTACTTCTCTCTATCCATTTAACTGAAATAAAAAATATACATATTAAATAGAATGCATATATATTAAAACGGGGAGAAAAAAAAATTTGATTTTAGAACAGTCTCTTTTTTTTATTCTTCAGCCAAGTGTGCACATTTATCAATACAAATAATCTTGAAAATGGCCTGAAAATAGCAGATTTTCTGTACTGTTTACTTTAAAGTAGATTAATTTGGTTGATGACTTTCAATCTGTTTTAATGCTCATTTTTATATTATATCTGGAGTTCTCAGATATTTTGAGAGCTGCACTGACATACTCCTTCATTAATGTTTTCACTGGATGTCATTGTTATCTAATATCCTCTCTCTTCCAGGCCCGCTATAAGCAGAGTTTGGATCCTACAGTTGACGAGGTGAAGAAATTGTGTACTTCACTGCGGAGAAATGCCAAGGAGGAACGTGTTCTCTTTCATTATAATGGCCATGGAGTGCCTCGACCCACTGTCAATGGAGAGATCTGGGTCTTCAACAAGGTAAGGTAAAAAGAACCAGGAAAAAATGGGTTTAGTGAGCAGTGCTGAATAGTAAACTTATTTCAATCTCTCTGCACAGCAGCTAACCACAGTAGTTTGTTTACTCTTGTACTCTCCTTAAGTTCTTAAATTAAAATTAATTTAATGAGTTAGGGCATGAACTGAGTTGTTGAGTTGTCAAAAACAGTGGCAGATTTAGGTATGGGTGACATGGGCAGCCGCTTAGAACGGCATCTTGCCAGGGGCGGAACGGGGGGCCTGCACAAGAAAAAAAAGCAGAATACGTGATCAGGTTTTTTTTTATTTTATTTTTTTATAAAATATGGTGTCACCATGTGGGTCAATTAACCTGGACGGGACTCTGTGTGTGCGCCCAGTAGACTTATGTTTAGCCTTACTATGCACATTATAAACAAGTCTGTGAGTAGCAAATACGGGTGTCGTGTGTAAGGAATTTGAACTCAGTTGTAAGGGAATTAATTATTATTATTGATTCAGGTTTTGATAGGACTCGGATTTGAAAATTCGAAGTCCACCTGATTAAACCGATTTCAAATTTGTTATGTTACACTTTAAATCAACGGTCGTCCAGCGAGCCGTGATTTCAGTATCTTTTAACAAACTGACTAGGGATCTTTTTGGCAACAGTTTTAACCTTGAAATTATATGACACCAGACAGTCCTTCTTTATAAATGAAACATGAATGGGCGACAGGCGAGAGCAGGAGAAGCAGCAAGCAAGCTAGTCTGTCTCGCGTTGGGTTTTTGCTCTGCGGCATAAGTCCATCCGTGTGATTCTGTGCGGGGCTCTGTTTAGGTACCAGGTTCTTTGTTCTTTGGTCCATTAGATGTTTTATTGATGCTGAAACCAGTCACAAAACCTACTGACCTTCTGTAGCTTAAACGAGTCCAGATGGGAGGGGTCAGTTCTTGTTGTCTTAGTATTGTGTCGACATGGAGGTGGCCTGGCAAATCATTAGCTCCGTGTTTTCTTTGTAAAGATAAGCAGAGAGAGACAGGAACTGCTGAGACCCTGAGCTGACCCTGTAAGTAGTTTTATGACTGCAGATGGCTGGGGAGACGAACCTTTAGTTTTCCCGGTGGAATGTAGAGATTCAATGTTTGTTTGTATCTGTTTATAGATTCAAGGGTTTCAATATCTTGAAGGCCGGAATCCTACTCGTGTAATAAAATATTTTTAATACTGCTGAATTTGTAAGATGATCACAGATTAATTGAATAAAAACACTGTAAATTATGCTTTAATTTTGCTGTTATTCAAACAGCGAATACATTATATACAGAAATCGAACAAAGAACATTTAATTTATCATATAGAACATTATCAATGACTTAAGTCTAGCGTGCATTTAAGCACTCTAAAAAAAAACTCACATTATAATCACTGAAACTGTCTACACTGTGAAATGAATCTCTTGCTTGCATCGCACGTACATCTGCACTTGGTTGTTTCTGATGTGAGAATTCGCGAGAGTGCAAAATTCAGTCAGCGAGCGCACACATTGAACAAAACACATTGTGATTGGTTATAATGTGGGCCACTGTTAAAAAAAAATGCATAAAAAGAAATATGCAACATGGGCAGATCTAAATTTAATGCCGCAGTGACACTTTTCTTTTTCACGTTATTCACTTTATTTCATTTTTATTTTTTATTTCAAGTCAGTTTCACTAAAGTAACTTAATCAGGGAGAGTTGGAAGGTAAGCCATCAGGAGTCCAAATTGGGAAAAAAAGAAGAGGCGAAATGTGAAAAGATAAACGGTATCTATACAGATATGATATGTATAATTGCTTATATATCACTTATGCAATTATACATAGAGCAGCAGCATTCCTTTGTCTGACCAACTAGCTTACATAACCAGACAGTAAAATGTGATTTTGCGGATCTAAAATATGAATAATTAATTATAACTAGTTATGGCTAATTATTCATATTTCCTCATGAGCTGATTCGTTACATATAGAATGTATTTTTTTTAAACAAACGTAATATCACTCACTTTATTAATGTTTTTTGCTGTACAGTATATCAAGGGTCGGCAACCAGGCACACGTGCCATTTTTGGCACGCTGAGGGAAAATCAATGGCAAGCCAAGCACATGCAGATGAATGCTATATTTGGTTACAAAATTAATATTATTTGTTTTTCAAGAAATGTCCTGGTCGGATTCGTGTGAAAAATAACCTAATAATCCTTAATAAACTTTACATATTTAATTAGTTATAGCTTTCACTGTGCTGTAGACGTCGTCACGTGTACAGTTTGTGTGTGCAGTTTGCGCTCACCGCGGTGCTGAAACTCGTGTGTTCGTTTATTTCAGCCATCTTGGAGAGAAGAATATGATTTTATTTTTCAAAAAGACCATGCCATTTGCACTTTGTTTAGAAAATGTTAAGCGCCACTTTGAAACTAAACACAAGAAATCCTTTAAAGATCAGGCAGACAGGGCAGAGTCCATCAGATGCGCAGTGTCCTATTATGAAAAGTAAACCAGCACTCTCCATGTTTTTGTTAGACCTAAAAATAATGCTACTGAATTGTTACCGAATTGCTCATTGCATTGCGAAACAATTAAGTCGTTCACTGACAGAGAGAATACATCAAGGATCCTTTTCTCTCTAGCGCAGAGGTGTTATTTGATGGCTTGCCTAACAAAGTCACTATCAAATTTAGAATCAAAGATATCCCTGTCAGCCAGAACTGATCGATAATTTTGACCCATACAATGTATTTTTGGCTATTGCTACAAATATACCAGTGCGACTTATGACTGGTTTTGTGGTCCAGGGTTATATATATACAAGCAAATCTTATTTAGGGGTGGCAGATGGGGTGGTTCGCTCACGGCACCATGCAAGCTTTAATCGCCACTGGTCAAAAATAATATCTTTCATTCTCTCTCTCTTTCAGAACTACACACAGTACATCCCACTCTCCATCTACGACCTACAGACGTGGATGGGAAGTCCCTCCATCTTCGTGTATGACTGCTCGAATGCAGGGATCATTGTCAAGTCATTCAAACAGTTTGCATTGCAGAGGGAGCAGGAGCTGGAGGTGTGTGATATTACACACACACACAAACACTATATAATAGAGGTTTGATAGAACTGGCTTTTTGTTTTTTAGACTAATGAGAAAGTTTTGAGTTAACTTACAGGATGTTTTTGTAGTACAATGACCTCTTGTAGCCTATGTCAAAAGATCAAGGCAATTATGCTTCCTCAGTTCATGACCCCTTTAAATGGAAGTGGGTGGTGATTCTGTCGCTCAAGCTCAAAAAAGGGCAAAAAGGCAAAAAAAAACTTTTCTGTATATTAAAAGTAGTTCACGGGGATTAAAGTTCTCCGTCGCTACGACTGATTTCCGTTAATTGCAGCAAGTCTACGACAGATTTCCGTCAATTGGAAAAAATTAAGGGAAAAGAAACATGTAGCACGTTGTTGTTGTTGTTGTTCTGCCGGTGTGCTACCCTGTCAGATTTTGCTACCTCCCATTAAAACAGATGGTAGCATAATTCGATAGTGAAAAATGCTACCTATCAGATTTTGCTTCCAGCATGATATTAATAAGGTGCGAGGCTTTATTAACATGTACACCTACCCCAATCCTAAACCTACCCTTTCAGTAGGATAAATACAGTGTTGGTAGCATAATCTGATAGGTAGCATTATTTGTCAGAACACTGGCACACCAAAAATCATCCTGCAGCTTCTCAGTGACAACATAGTGATGCCGCTCGCATCATTCACAGTCGGGTTATTAGCAGAGAACACAGAGCAGAACTTGAATTTCGGCGTCTGATTGCGGCTATTAATAACAATTCTACTCATTCCAAAGACTGTAGAATGCCCTTAAAGGGACTTTGTCTTATTCCCGCAGGTTCCGCGCTTATAACGTGATGACAGATGACGGAACATATCATTTGCACGTGCTTTTGAGTCTTGAGAACTCACTCGCGCGCTCTTATTTTCTGTGTGCCCACAGATCGCGATAAGGAGAGTGACAACTTTTAATAGTTATTAAGGGAGTTTGCAAATGTGATATTGATTTAATACAACGGTTCAATAAACAAGTACTGCCGGATTTTGCTCTATTTCTTCAACAAAACTAGTTCCAAATATAGTAACCGCTCAGGGGCATCTCTGAATGAATTAAACAGCTGTGTTTGCTTTTAATGAAAGTGCGTTTTTGAACGAATCTAGTGAGTCAGTGATTCGTGATTACCCGTTCATAAAGACAGTCACTTGCTTCAGTCCTGAATGAATCAGCAGTTTGAACGAATCAATTGAATGAATGATTCAGTGATAAAATCAGTGAATTGCCGCCACCTGCTGGCAAATTTAGTTTAATTTTTTGCGTATAATTTCACTTATTTAAATCATTTAATATTTCTGTATTCAAAATTGTATATTTAAAACATTAATCTCCACATGAATGTATGAATTTTATTGCACTCATACCACCTTTGAGCCTCATTAAACGTTTTGTGTTCTTCTGTGCCACCTCTGTACAAATTAATTTTTTATTAATACAAATTTCATATGATTGGTAACTTTGTCTTATTCTACTTCTTATTATATTGTTTTAAATAGAAATTTTAAAAAGCCTATAAACATACATTTTTGAATTTGACATAGATGAAAATTATGCCATTACAAAGGTAAAAAGAAAATACCCCTGTAAGTCACTTCAAAAGTCAAAAGTCACCTCGTATTAGGAAGGATAATTTTTGAATTTCTGATTATTGATCATGCTCCTAAATGTTTTAAATTAGGAGGACAAGTGGTCCTAAAAAGAAAAGTAAGCGTAGAGCCCATAGACTGTATAAAAACAGGTAGAGCCATGTGTAACAGTATATTAGATCCGTGCATGAGGTCGTAAAGAGACAGCAGCCTAAATAAACCTCCTGCTGCCTTTCATTATACAGTGAACACTATCTAGTGTTATTTTACAGTTGAATAGATTATAGTAAGACCTAACTGAAAAAATTAAAGTACTGTTAATTTAATTTGTTTCTTGTTATTATTTTAGTTTGTGCTATTGATTGTCATTAATTTATTTGTTCTTATTTTATTATTTACTATTTACTTGTCTTTTTTTAGTTAAAATAAATTCAATTCTGAGTGCACATGATTCTTTGGTGGGGAGGGGGTGTGGTCCATGAGAAATAGTCCTGCCACCACAGCTGGAAAAAAATCCTAGGAAACACTGCATACATTTAATAAAATTTGAAAAATGCCATTACAAAGCTAAAAAGAAAATGCCCCTGAAATCACTTTGAGTCAAATGTCACCTCATATTAGGAAGGCTAATTTTTTATCAGAATTTTTTATTATTGATCAGAAGGTGCTCCTACATTTTTTAATTAGGAGGACAAGTGCTCCTAATTACAAGAAGAAAAAACTGCTCTTAATCTGGGTGTGAGACAAGTATGGCTGTGGAATGGGGTTTGGCTGAGGAAAAATTTTCAGTCAAAAGATTGGTTTTGCTTTAACCCCTGAGTTCATACAATTTGTATACTACAATCCAAGTTCTCTGAAGTTTTATGTTAGTAATATACCTCAATTAAAGTTCTTATTGAAATCTGGCACATAATAATAGGTTACAAGACACACAGGAAAAAGTTATGTTTATTCTGTGTATCACTATCTGTGTTGATTAAATGGAAATAAAACAGCTTGGACATTTTGTTTTTAATTCATTTACATTCGTGTACCATGGAAGAAAGAAGACGATTTGGAATGGAGGGTGTGTGAATGATTCATATTTGGGTGAACTATTCCTGTAATAGTAGTGCAATGTTTTTGAAAAATTACATCAGAATTGTACAATTTCCTTCACTTCTCAGACCTGTCAATCACAGAAAAGCTCAATCCCCAGTACTCTCAGAATAGCAAAATGCAATAGAACACTCAGACGTTTACATTGAACTCACTCATCCACAGAAAGTCATGTAGTTGGCATGCTCTTTATGAGTCAATTGCAGAATTCCCAAATATGCTGCTTACATGCAAAATCAGAGGAAGAAAAGTCATTCACATAGAGAGCGAAACATAAAGACAGTTTCACTCATGGCTGGACACCATTGGCAGAAAACCGCCAAGAAAATGCCTTTTGATTTGAGTACAGCATTCTATGAGCATGATCTGAGCATCTCTTTCTGCAGGGTTAGAGAGAATGAAGCCTGTCATAAAATAAAGAAAACACTGTTGTCTGCTCAGGAATGTTTAGATTGTTTTGTTTCAATTTCCTCTCTTTTCTCTTTTCAGAATGAATATTTGATAGGATTTTTAGGTTAGCTGGGGATTGTCCCTCTTTCTCCTTTCCTGCTTTTACTCCTCCTTTCAGCAGTAGTTTGTCCCTCAGTATTTCAAAGCCACAATCACTGTAAGACATTGAAGGGGTGGTTGATTGCGATTTCACTTTTTTAACATTAGTTAGTGGGTAATGTTGTTGTTTGAGCATAAACAATATCTGCAAAGTTACGAAGCTGAAAGCTCAATGCAAACTGAGATATTTTCTGTAGCAAATTAGCTCAAAAGGGAAATGTATATAAATAATTACAATTAATTATGATTAATTACAATTATTTATATCAGCTGCCAGTAGTAACTGTAGCAGAATTAAATTCACCTCAACTAATCTGTTCGTCCAGCGAACATTCAGTGTAAGTTCATATCAACTCTAGGAAAGGATATTTTCGTGGCCACAGAAAATACTTTCATACAGTATTAATGCATTAGAGCATGTAGCAAGGATCAAAACTGTAAAGGGACATTAATTTGCAAGGCAGAATCAGAAACTCATGTAATTTGTGCACAAGAGTTTTATTAACTAAACACTAACACAAGCTAGTCTAACAAACAAACAAACAATCACTCATACATGGGAACGGGCAATTGAGACTTGATGGATGAAACCATCAGGAAAACCAGAGAATGAAGCTATGAAAAGAGTTAGTTAACCACCTGAGTAAAACCATCAGCGCCGTTTTAGAACGGGGTCTACAGCTTATACTAAACCTCTGTTTCGTTTAGTTAAATGTACGATACTTTCATTGCCTTGGCCTGGAACAAGCTTCCAGATGCAGTCTCAGATGAAAAGTCTTGATGGTTTGGAGGTTCATGGTGTAGGAGTCGCGATCACGTTCTTCCGGGTTTGAAGAGTGATGAACTCCAAAACAATGTTATTCTGACTCTGTCATGGTCGGGAGAGTTTTCTCCCAGATGAAGGTGATGAAGAGCTAAAAGAGACATCAGCTGAGATCCAAGGATCGTTGGTGAATGTAAAGACAAGGCCGAAGCCTGGTGCAGACTTAAGGGTTGCAGAAGCATTCTAGCTCACATCCTCATCTTCTCAGAATCGAATAGAACCGCCGACTGAAAGGCTATGTGTTGGAGCCCACCGGGCATGCCCGCACCAGCTCATGCTCTCCACACGGGCAGCAATCAGAAGACTTAGCAGAAGACCTGGGCGGAACTATGCATGAGCCCTTTAAGGTCTGAGAAGATTCACGCCTCTCAGGATGGGCTTGTCCAATGAGAAATGCTGAAATTCCAAGCGGGAGGTTGGAAATACTGGGGAGTTGTATGACCCTTTGTCTGAGAGCATGGTCATTTGCATATGGAACTCAAATGGGTGTTGATGCAAAATTACTAAAGATTCTTAGAACACTAATATATTGCCTATGTGCCAACATACAGTATAATATACACTCTCGTTTAGATCATCAGAAGACGAATTCATAGATACTAAACATGGTAAGATTACATATAGGTAAGATTACATGAACGAGTGGTTATTAATTTGCAAGGCAGAATCAGAAACTCATGTAATTTGTGCACAAGAGTTTTATTAACTAAACACTAACACAAGCTAGTCTAACAAACAAACAAACAATCACTCATACATGGGAACGGGCAATTGAGACTTGATGGATGAAACCATCAGGAAAACCAGAGAATGAAGCTATGAAAAGAGTTAGTTAACCACCTGAGTAAAACCATCAGCGCCGTTTTAGAACGGGGTCTACAGCTTATACTAAACCTCTGTTT